CTGCTACATTAAGCTGTCTCTCAACACACTGAGTGCTTTACCCTAGCATTATTACCCTTTCTGATGGTCTCACAAACCTTGGGATGCCACCTCCTTCCAAGGGTGGAGAAACGCAGGTTCAGAGAGGTGAAAACCCTGACCGAGAGGACACAAAGATAAGCAGTATCATTCCTTAGTAATTGCACTGACAAGAAATAGGTACTTGAACTTCGGATGACCTAATGATGCATATTTGACCAGAATAGTTATATGTCATACTAGCAAGTTTCTCAAATAAGTGATAAGGCATGGTATGGCAAGGGATAGACTGACTTTTTTTTTAAGATTTTTTTTTTAAAGATTTATTTATTTATTTGAAAGGCTGAGTTAGAGAGAGAAGGAGAGGCGCAGAGAGAGAGAGAGAGAGAGAGTTCTTCCATCCACCAGTTCACTCCCCAGTTGGCCGCAACGGCCAGAGCTGTGCCAATCCGAAGCCAGGAGCCTGGAGCTTCTTCCAGGTCTCCCACGCAGGTGCAGGGGCCCAAGAACTTGGGCCATCTTCTGCTGCTTTCCCAGGCCATAGCAGAGAGCTGGATCAAAAGTGGAGCAGCCGGGACTCGAACCGGCGTACATATAGGATGCCAGCACTGTAGGCGGCAGCTCTACCTGCTATGCCACAGTGCTGGCCCATAGACTGACTTTTTTTTTTTTTTGACAGGCAGAGTTAGAAAGTGAGAGAGACAGAGAGACAGAGAGAAAAGTCTTCCTTTTCCGTTGGTTCACTCCCCAAATGGCCACTACGCTGCGCCAATCTGAAGCCAGGAGCCAGGTGCTTCCTCCTGGTCTCCCATGGGGTGCAGGGCCCAAGCACCTGGGCCATCCTCCACTGCATTCCCGGGCCACATCAGAGAGCTGGCCTGGAAGAGGAGCAACCGGGACAGAATCCGGCGCCCCGACCGGGACTAAAACCCGGGGTACTGGTGCTGCAGGCAGAGGATCAGCCAAGTGAGCTGCGGTGCCGGCCTAGAGTGACTTCTTAAAAGACCTCATTTGAAATAAGTGGAGAAGGAGGCTAGAAAAATCACATATTCCACAGGACTTCCATCAGCGATCAGCAGAGCTCACTCCCTATCACCTCAATGCAGCAACTCATCACAACCAACACTTCTCAAATACAGTCAAATCAGAAAAACAGTCACAGGGGAGTTCTGACCTCTATAGCAGAGATTTTGTTTTGTAAGGAGGCTATTCAGAGGTCCTGTTCTCAATAATGTTAAAGAATTCAGCACGTCACTTGGTCTGGTTCAGCCTCATTTGATCAAAGCACCCCCTAAAAACTGTTTTTTACAAATGATCAGTAAACAGAGTTATTAATAATCGACAGATCTAAGCAGGTCACAGATAACATCACTGACTTGCCAAAGAAATACTATAAATATAATAGTAAAACTGACCCATCAAATTGTCAAATCACAACAAAGTATAAGCCTACATACAGCCTTTCCCTCTTAATCTTATGTCTTAAAATATTAACCTTGGCTGGCACCATGGCTCACTTAGCTATTCCTCTGCCTGCGGCGCCGGCACCTCGGGTTCTAGTCCCGGTTGGGGCGCCGGATTCTGTTCGGTTCCTTCTTTTCCAGTCCAGCTCTCTGCTGTGGCCCGGGAAGGCAGTGGAGGATGGCCCAAGTGCTTGGACCCTGCACCCGCATGGGAGACCAGGAGGAAGCACCTGGCTCCTGGCTTCAGATCGGCGCGGCACGCCGGCCATAGCGGCCATTTTGGGGGTGAACCAACAGAAAAGGAAGACCTTTCTCTCTGTCTCTCTCTCTCACTGTCTAACTCTGCCTGTCCAAAAAAAAAAAAATTACCCTGGACAGGCATTTGGCGCAGCAGTTAAGATGTTGCTTGGGAAGTCCACGTGCAATATCAGAGTGCCAGTTTGAGTCCTGGCTACTCTACACTTGAACAATCCAGTTTCTGGTTAATGGGCCTGAAAGGCTGCACATGATGGTCCAAGTATTTGGGTTTCCGCCATCCATGTGGAGGACCTGGATGGTATTCCTGGCTCCAGGCTGCCCTGACCCAGCTGTTTTGGGCATTTTGGGAGTAAACCAGCAGATAATCTCTCCCTCCCCAATACATACGCTCTTTCAAATAAATTTTTTAAAAACTTTTAATTATTAACCAGCCATAATAAAAAAATTAATAAATGATTAACCAGTTACAGGAACCAAAAACTAACTGAAATGCTTTCCTAATTTTCACACAATAGCTAAGAGACCCTTTAAAAATAAAACCAACAACCAGCTGGCAAAAACTATTAAGGACACTAGATATGCTTGCCTAGCTACCATGCAGTTGGTAAAGCCATACCAAAAGCAAAACTCTTTTTTTCAGATCTAACCCTAGTTTAATCTTAAGGAAGATCTCACAGCAGTCTCTTGAGGAAATACATAATTAAGTAGTTTTTTAGCATATTTAATTAGACCCCAAACTCTTCCCTGTCCCCTTCTCTCCCCAATTATGTACCATGTGCCCAGGAGACCTAAGCAACTCAGTTAATTATGTAAATAAGGCAAGCGTTATTCCCAAGAAAAGCACTGTGAATATTTGCAGGAGAAAAAAAAAAAACCTGCATGGATTTTAGTGGCTTTAACAAATCTTACACACACACACAATAAAGAAGCATTGAAATACATAGAAAACCTTTACAATTTGGGCAAAAAAAAAAAGTAGCATTCCAATGACTAAAACAAAACACTCACTTCATTCCTTAACTATGAGATAAAAAAAATTAAAATAATCTTAAGTTACAACTGTAACAAAAATTTAGTACTGAATGTCAGATGATTTATGGGGAGAATCAATCTGGAAATTATTAAAGTCGACTCACACGGAAAAGGCTTTATTATCAAGGGGTTGACATGATCTTAACTCTAGAGGCAGCCATGCTACCATTCTAACTACTACAATCCCATTATTATGCAATCACAAAATGCTAATTTGATCATTTTGAGGTGTTATTTGAATAGTCATTTTAATTTCTAGGTTACAAAAAGGCTTGACTCAAGTATAATTCTCTATTAATCATTGAGATGTCATTGAATATCATATTGATGCATTTCAGAAAGATAAAGAAAGACTAATTTAATATGTATGGTACAATATCTTTCAAATATTAGCCACTTTCATTACCTATCTGCCAAATGCATCAATATTAAATAATAGATGAGAACACAGGTTTAATTGTATTTTAGCAATTGTAATATGTAAAATAATAATAAAGCAGCATTACATCATAAGACAGACTTATCGATACATAAATCTTTCTTAATCAATATGTAATGGTGACTGCTTCATGTTCACATCCTTTGCAAATTACAGATTTGCTGTGACAAAAGCACAGAGAATCTTAAGTGTAAACACATATCTAGTAAATAAAATTCCTTTGTGACTGATGAAATGGCTTACTTAAAAAAAAAATCTGTCACTTCAGAAGTTAGATATATATTCCAAGCAGAGTCCATGGCTGCCTGATAAATTCAAATCTAGGAAATTAATAGTACAGTCTAATGGTATACAGAAATTTCTATTTAAAAGGTCTGTGCTACTCTGTTAGCATACAAACATTATCACATATTAATTATTCCAGCAATTACATCCTCAAACAATGAGATGGTATTGGGCAATAGAAGCAAACAAATTCCAGCAAAGTCTCCTAATCCCAGCAACAAATTCTCCCAAATCGTAATGAATCCACTGTATTTTTTTTAAGTCCTGTAAAGTCCAATTCAGCATTTTCCTGAGGCTGACAGTGCAGTCCCTGAGGAGAAACCCCTTCCCTTCCCTCGCCTACGTTTCACAAGGAGAACCAGGGAAGGCAGACGGGCAGCTTACAGAGAAGCGTTACACCAACCCAGCTACGATTTACTGAAAGTGCTTTCCCATGATTTTGTGGAGGAAACTCTTGAGTGCTTTAGGATCTTTATGTTATTCACGCATCTTGTTTCTGGTTCTTGCTCTGCTTTCCCACAGACATCAACAACCTCTTGTGCCAACAGCCACACATGCTTACTTAAACCGATGCAAACACGCTGAACTGTCTGGGGTGAAAGTGTTTCAAAGAGAAAAATACCTCTTTGCTCAAAGATGACAACTGACAGAACCAGCACATGAATAACAAAAATGCAAACACAAGCAAAGAGCTGTGTGTTTATTAATTGCAATAGTGTTGAAATAAGACAAATTGTGTACGACCCCTCCAGGCAACAAGCTATCACTCAGCACCCCTACACCACTGCCAGGCAGAAAACATAATGGCAATAAATATAAAAATCAACTGTTACTGTCTCCTGAAAAAGGCCCGCTTAGCTCAGCACAGAGACCCGGAATGTCAGGGAACGGGGGGGAGGGTGTGCCACACTTCAAACAGTGGCCATTTTTTTAAAAGGAAAATATGACCATTTTAATTTTATAACAGTAAACTGTGAGAATAAGAAAAAAAAAAAAAAAAAAGACAGTCATCCTCCATGGCAAGTGTTAAACAAGATACCCTTACAGTGAAATACTGAAATGCGAAGTAACAGCCTAGATTTGTGAACTGAAGAAACTTCGACAATATCTGTAGTTACAATAAAGAATCAGATAAGACAATGCAAACTGCCTCTCAGCACCACTTTCAAGGCTTTCCCGACGCAAGTGGATCTTGATAAATCACAATCCAACTAGCCCAAACTCCCACGGATACTTCAGATACCACAGATAAATAAATCAGTCAGACTACCCCCTGTCTGTGTATCTCTATATATTTGAGAGAATTCAAACAGTCCTCAGATATCTAAGATAAACATAAAGAGTAGAGACCGGGGAAACATGGACAGAGAGAGGGAGAAAGGGGGAAAGCGAGAGAGGGAGGAGAGGAGTAGGAGAGAGAGAGGGAGGGAGAGGGAGATAAAGAGGAAGAGGGAGATAGAGAGGGAGAGAAGTTCCATTGGAAGGACAAAGTCTCTATCACTCACCTTGCCGTCAAATTTGGAATACTCATTAAAGGGGTTATTCAGCTGCAGAGGGCACTGCTCCAGGCGTACGGATAAAATTGACTGCTTTCCAGAACTTGGAGGCTTCTCTTTGAGGGATTTTTTTTCAAACAGTGACTTTAACTCCTGGGCTGTGACACAAGAGGAAGATAAAAACATATTTGTGATTACAGAGAGAGATCACTTGTGCACCTTGCCTAAAAAGGCCCCCTCAGAGTCAAGGCAGAAGAACCCAGGGACGGGCTCAGGTCTGATGTGTGCAGAAAGCCTCCCGTATGCTTTGATGTCTGCACACTGAACAGCAGCATGCAGGCCAGGGTTGTCAATCCAGAAGGACTAGGGCTTAGGGAAGGGGAAAGCGTCAGAGCAACAGAGTGGCCTTTCTGTAAGAGGAGCATTCACTGCCAGGAAACCGGAGCTTTTGCCTTGCTTTGCCAAGTACAGTTAGTTGGGTGAAACTGGACAATTCAGTCGACTTCCCTGGGCTTGTCAAACTAGACAATCTCAAAGACCTCTCAAGGCTTTAATACTACAGGAGTTTGGAATTCTAATTCTTCAAGGTGAAGGATCACAGCTTAATCCTTTCACACAATCCAATGGCACCAAGCACAACATTTGGATGACAGAGATGAGGAGGAGGAAAGAGAGAGGATATCTGTAACAGTAGCTAACATTACTTGTTCAGGTCAATGTAACTAGTTTAATTCTCATAACACATCTATTACACAGATGCAAGCATTACTTCAATTTTTTCAGTGTGAAAACAAGCTTAGAACATTTTGATTAGCCCTAGGCCATCAGCTATAAAGTGGCAAAAAGCTAGATTTTGTATCCAACTGAGCCTCTTGGCCATTAGGCATTAATGAACAAAGTAGATCCTTAGTAAATTTTGCTGCATGAATGAACAAATAAAATAATGATTGAAGCAATTCAGATTAAGTTATTATTAAATCAGATTCTTCCTGATATTCATTAATGAATCAAAACAAGTTAGTTCTATATCTTCCCAAAGATCATCTAATTCTCTAAATCAATCTGCATTTTGATAAAGATGGTAGTTAGATGATAAGTAATCAGGGTCACTATAGCCTTCTTTTTCATTTTTTGAGTATTAGAAAATATCCTTAGTTAAGCTTTTTAAATAAATCAAAGATGTTTACATCTGCAATGAATAAGTTCAAAGCACTGCAGTCTTGACAAAGTCAAAAGAACTTGAAAACATTTAAATAACTTGTAACTAAAAAATGTAACTAAAATTACTTTTTCAACAGATTGATGAGATAAATTTATCAAATGAGTTCCTACAGTGGCTAATCAGGAGAAAACTACTGGAGGCTCCACTTACCTGTGGGGCATGCACTCTAAGAACCCCCAGTGGATGTCTGAAACCACAGATCAGACCAAACCCTATATTCATCCAGCCACACTCCACATGACAGTTCCCGTCAGCAAGGAACGGCATATATGACAGTGGTTCCAAAGACTGTACTGTAGCCACCTTAGTTTGTGGAAGCACACCCTGTGATGTCCACACGACAATGAAACTACCTAACGTCCTCACCCTCATTGCTAAGTGACTCTTCTCACCTCTTCCTCAGATCACTGGCACTTCCCACAGCTCAGTATCTGGTCCTCTTCCTTTCTCCTTCTACATCCTTGGTGATTGTGTCCAGGCTAATACTACCCCATAAGAGAGAAAACTGAAGTGTAGTGATATATATTAGAATAATGGTTGCCTTTGGGGCATAAACCGACTAGAAAGAAACACCAAGGGAATTTACTGGGGAGATGGAATTGCTCTTAGTTGACCAGGATGCTAGTTATACTAGTGTATACATCTGCCAAGAGGGATTGCACAGGGGCAGGCATTTAGCCTAGTGGGTCAGAAGCCAATTAAGACACCTGCATTCCACACTGGAGTACCTGGGTTCAGCGTCTGGCTCTGACTCTTTTTTTTTTTTTTTTTAAGGATTTTTTATTTATTTATTTGAGAGGTAGAGTTACAAGACAGTGAGAGGGAGAGACAGAGAGAAAGGTCTTCCGTCCGCTGGTTCACTCGCCAAATGGCCGCAAAGGCCAGAGCTGCGCTGATCCAAAGCCAGGAGCCAGGAGCTTCCTCCAGGTCTCTCACGCGGGTGCAGGGGACCAAGGACTTGAGTCATCTTTCACTGCTTTCCCAGGCCATAGCAGAGAGCTGGATGGGAAGACGAACAGCCAGGACTAGAACTGGCGTCCATATGGGAAGCCAGCACAGCAGGCGGAGGATTAACCTGTGCCACAGCACCGGCCCCTGGCTCTGACTCTTGACACCAGCTTCCTGCTAATGTGGAGCCTAGAAGGCAACAGTGGTGGTTCAAGTACTTGGGTTCCTATAATCCATGTGGGAGACCTGGATTATGTTCCCAGCTCCTAGCTTCAGCATGGCACACTCAATCTTTGTGAGCATTTGAAGAGTGAACAAGCAGATTGGAGCTCTTACTCTCTTTCTCTCTGTTTCTTTCTGCCTTTTAAACAAATAAATGTTTTTAAAAATGTTGAAAGTCATCAAACTGTATATTTAATATCTATATATCTATGTCTACATATAGATATACCACTACATGTGAAGAAGAACATACAAACACACAGAAAAATAAATACAAAGGGAAAACCTAAATAAGTATCTTTTATATGCTGGGGACTCAAAATGATCATTTCTTTTTCTTTTTTAACCTTAGTAGTATAATATTCTTTTTTTTTTTTTTTTTTTTAAGATTTATTTATTTATCGGGGCTGGTGCTGTGGCTAGGCCTCTACCTGTGGTGCCGGCATCCCATGTGGGTGCCGATTCGTGTCCTACCTACTCTTCTTTCAATCCAATTCTCTGCTTGTGGCCTGGGAAAGCGGTAGAGGATGGCCCAAGTGCTTGGGCCCCTGTACTATGTGAGTGACCCAGAGGAAGCTCCTAATTTTGGATTGGCTCAGCTCCAGCCATTGTAGCCATCTGGGGAGTGCAGTAGTAGATAGAAGACCATTCTCTCTGTTTCTCCCTCTCTGACTCTACCTCTCAAATAAATAAATAAAATTTTTAAAAAATTATTTGAAAGTCAGAGTTATATAGAGAGAAGAGACAGACAGACAGACACACACACACACACACACACACACACCCCGAGAGAGAAAGAGATCTTCAATCTGCTGGCTCACTCTTCAAAGCTCCTTGATGCTCCTGGGCTGGGCCAGGTCAAAGCCAGGAGCCCAGAGCTTCATCCAGGTCTCCCATGTGGGTGCAGGGGCCCAGGCACTTGGGCCATCTTCCACTGCTTTCTCAGGCACATTAGCAGGGAGCTGGATTGGAAGTGGAGCAGACAGGACTCGAACCAGGGCATATATGGGATGCTGGCATTGCAGGCAGCAGCTTTACCCACTACGCCACAGTACCGGCCCCCAAAATGCTCATTTCTAGCAGTAAACACTCCCTGAAAATAGACTCATATATCCAATATTTTAGGTGACACCTCCACTGGGATATCTGCTCAGAATCTCACATCTTACCTATCCATACCTACATCCCTGACCTTCCCCAAACATATCCCTGCACAGTTTTCCACTTCTCAGTTAACTGCAACTCAATCCTATTAGGCCAAGAACTTGAGAGTCATCCCGACCCTTCTCCCTCATAGCCAGCATCCCACCCATCAACAGATAACCAGAGTCACTTCTACAGTCACCAACACCTTCAAACTGGCCATCCTGTTTCTGCCCTTGACTTCCATACCCCATCCCATCTCTTACTGACACAGTAGCCAATACTAGTCTTTTAAAATATAAGTTACAAACTTCAGATTGAATCCATATAGAATCTATATGAAAGGACTGACTACATGAACAGACAGCTTTATTATGAAAAAGAATAATAACTGCAATGAACTGAAAAATATCAAATATGCTTCAAAAATCATTGAGTTCATAATTATACAAAGGAAGAAAACCTTTATTGGTCATTTATATAGAATGCTAGGGAATAAACTCATAATTCTGAAAGCTATTAACAAAGAGAAAGAATCAAGAATTTATCCTGCTTTTCTTACAGACACTATATCAGAAGAAACCAAGTAACAGATTTAGGAACAGTTCTTTACAGTAAAGCGAGTTATAAAGAATGACTGATGAAGAGAGAAATCACTGGTACCAGGAGGTAAGCAGCATTTGCTACACTAGCATCCCATATGGAAGTGCTGATTTGAATCCTGGCTGCTCTGCTTTGGATCCAGCTTCCTGCTGATGTCCCTGGGAAGGCAGTATTTGATGGCCCAACTGCCCAAATCCTTGCCATCCACATTGCAGACCTGGATGGAGTTTCTGGCTCCTGGCTTTGCTTTGGCCCAGATCTCACTGTTGCAGCTATTTGGGAAGTGAACAAGCAAAACTGTTTTTGCTTGCTCGCTCTCTCTCCCTCTCTCTCTCACTGCCTCTCCACTCCCTTCTCTGTCACTCTGTCTTTCAAATAAATAAATAAATAAATCTTTTTCTAAAAAAAATTAGAAATATTACTTTGCAACTCCTAATGAAATAATGCATGCAGGTAATGCCCAACAATGGCCATTAACACCATCAGGTAAAAAAGCAGCAGTAACTTGGTAATGAATACACGACACCTGATCCTGCTATCAATATCACAAAAATGACATTCTACATTTCCTGATATAATATGAAGTATACAACATATAAAATATATTCTCACCAAAAAGCAAACTTCAAATCTGAGATGTTTCTAGACCTAAATACAAGTTTACAGGAAACAGGGAGGCATACTGAATGAGACTGTGAGTATACAATTAGCAAAATAAAAAATGTAGGAAATTCTACAAGACAACCCAGTTTCTTCAAAAAATAAGCTACAAGAAAAAAAAGGTGAAGAACCTACATTATAAAGGAAATGAGACACATTAACCAAAAGTAATATGTGGCCCTCAGATGCAAATCTAAATAAACCAATCAGAATTAAAAAAAAACACTTCAAGATACTTGATGAAATATGAACAGTAATTTGATATTTGAGAACATTATAGAATTATTTATAGTATACAATACATAAATGATTACTAAAATTGTAATGATTACTAAAATTAGCTAAAATTGTAAATATACTTAAAATAACATAAATATTAAGATAATATTAAAGAACTTTCTAGAGAGTAATGGTATTGTAGTTTTTTTTATGTGCTAAAAACACTTAAGGGGTCAGCACTGTGGCTCAGTAGGTTAATCTTCTGCCTGCAGTGCCGGGATCCCATATGGGCGCTGGTTCTGGTCCCAGCTGCTCCTCTTCCGATCTTGCTCTCTGCCATGGCCTGGGATAGCAGTGGAAGTTGGCACAAGTGCTTGGGCCCCTGCACCCATGTGGGAGACCCAGAGGAAGCTCCTGGTTCCTGGCTTCAGATCAGCTCAGCTCTGGTCGTTGTGGCTATTTGGGGAGTGAACCAGCGGATGGATGACCTTTCTCTCTGTCTCTCCCTTTCACTGTCTGTAAGTCTGCCTCTCGTTTAAGTAAGAAAAATCTTTTAAAAAAATTTTTAAAAATAAATGAAAACACTTAAGTACTGTTCTTAATTTTAACCTTTTTAAAAAACTTTATATTTGATTATTTTCCTTTTATTTGAAAGGGAAAGGGAAAGATAGACAGACGGAGATCTCGCATTTGCTGGTTTACTACCCAAATACCTACAACAGCCAGGGCTGGGTCAGGCAAAAGTCAGAAGCCAGGAACTCAATCCAGGACCCCCACATGGGTGGCAGGGACCCAACCAGTTGAGCCAGCACTTGCCGTCTCTCAGAGTGTGCATTAGTAGGAAGCTGGATCAGAAGCTGAGGAGCCAGGACTCTAAAACCAGGCTCTCTTGATTATTGGATGTGAGCATTCCCAATAGTGATTTAACCACTGCCAACGTCTGTCCCCCAGCTTGTAACTTTTTAAGATATTGAAGTGAAGAGGGTAAACAAAGTAGAAGGAGGGATAGGGAGGCTTGGATGAACTGGCTCTGTGCTCATTAAGAGGAGATCAATAGGAACTGTATTCAAATATATAAAAATATAAAAAAGTTGACTAGATAAATAATATATTTTCACATTGTGCTAAATACAACAGAAAGAATAATTAACTGAATCAATAGAAGTGGTCAGCCTAGTGATATTTTTAAAGTATCAAGACAAAACAAATGAGCCATTCAAGAACTACAGAAATCATAGTGTGAGATTACGGAAGAAAAGGAAGTGAACAGGATTCCTGTTCTACACAGTCATTATTGGGAAGCAATCAGTAAGAAAATCATACCTAGGGAGGTTACTTGAGGATATAATCATAGGGGAAAGCAAGAAGCACTTTGGACGTGGCTTAGCATCAAGAGACTGATCTTTAAAGGCAGACAAGCTGGATATAAAGCACAGCACTATCACACTTCCACCTCCTAGTTGCAATTTTAGCAAATCAATCAATGTCTCTGAGGCCACTCTCACCTGTAAATGACAGCAACAATACCCACGTTCTGTAAGATCACTGCATCACAGGCAGTGCAGATCCAGTGCCTAGTGCAGCACTAGGCCTGGTGCTACTAACATGATAACCATTGTCAGCTGTATAATTAGCGTGTAGCAATGCAGCCAGCCAATCAACAAATATGAGGGCACTTCAAAAAGTTATGAAGAGGCCAGCATTTAGCCTAGCATTTATGCTACCTGAATCCCACATTAAAGTACCTGGGTTCAACACCTGGCTCCAGCTCCTGACTCTAGCTCCTTGCTAATGCGCACCCTGTAAGGCAGCAATGATTACTCCTGCCATCTACATGGGAGACCTACATTGAATTCTTTGCTCCAGGCATTGGCCCAGCCCAATCCTGGCTGTTATGGGCATTTGGGGAATGAACCAGCAGATGGCAGTGAGAAGTCTGTCTCTCTGTCTCTCTCTCTCTCTGTGTCTCTCTCTGCCTCTCTGCCTCTCAAATTAAAAAAAAAATTTAAAATTTCATGGAAAAATGGAATTCAAAGAAGTTTATTTTAGTGCAAAAAAATTTGAAATCCATGTACAGTTTTTTCATAATATATACTTTCAATAAACATTTTGAAAACCCTCCATATGTAAAAATTTCAAATTTTGTACCAAAATAAACTCTGAGTCACATTTCCCACGAGCTTTTTGAAGTACCCGCGTATTTATTAGGCACTTGTTACATGCCAACATGGTACTGGGAGGTGCTGGGAGGTGCTGGGAGGGCATGGAAGGAAACATGCTATCGCCATTATAAAATATTTTAACAGGATTTTACCAATTAAAATATTCAAGTCTTCTGATATTGAAGCTTTGAAAATATGTAATTGTCAGCCTTTAAATATATCATATATATACACACTAATACTGCAACACAATGGTTTTTAAGCTAAAGAGAAAGAATTAGCATACGTGCAAAAAAAGACTTACTAATTACTAAAGCCAGTAATGAGGCAAGGGAAAGTCTAGGTTGGAATAGTCAAAAGAAATCCATTACCCAGAAGTCCATCATAGAGAACTGTTTTTGTAAAGAAATCACAAAGCACTCCTTGGCCTTGAGAACAGGGCACTGGCATGACAGTTTTACCATACACCATGTCCCCTCCACACATCTTCCCCATGACTGAGTGAAGGGTGGCCAAAATGACAAGCCCTAAAGAATACACAGCTTCAGTGGGAAAGAGCTCAAAGCTCAAAATACAGTATCTGTTCAGAAGATTTAAAAGGATGAATACAAAATAAAAGTTAATATAAATTAAATATATAAATCTCAAATTAAGAATTAAAATGATTTCCATTTACCTGATTGCTTAGAATTTCTTTCTTTCCACTGAATATTTTTGCATTTGATCTGGTTTTGTCTCTCTTTTCGGAGCCGTTCTAATCTTTGAGCTTGAAAAGAAATATTATAACTATAAGTTTGTCAATGAAAGTTTACTATAAACAAAGACATAATTAACTACCTTTATATGAATAAAGATGTTTTATATTGCATATGTAGGGAAAAAAGTCATAAAATTTTAAAGGTGGCACCCCTGAAAAGCAAATACCAACAAAAACATGAAAATATTCTTGATTTATAATTGAAATTAGAGGATATAAAACATTAATAGAGATCATAAAGATAGTATTAACATGGAAGAGAATAATAAAATGTGAAAACTTCTGTGATTAATATGACATTTCATTATATAAATCATTAATAACGGTCTTAAAGGAATTTTAATGCACAAATGAACTGAAGTGAATATTACATTACAGGAATAAAATTACTGTTATGAATTACTCTACCCGTTTCAAAAATTAAAGATAAATGAACTCAGACTAGACTATTAAAGTTTTAAATATAAAATCCTTTATCTAAAAATCATGAAAATTATAAAATGTCAAAGCTATATAAATTAGCATAGCTTTTCTTCAGTGGGCTGAAACAGTTTATAGGTAGTAAAATAAATGATTTGTATCTTTGTAACATTAGTCAAATCTTAAAAAGAACAATTTTTCTTTTACAAAATTTTAAGATATGCTGAAAGGAATAAAAAGTAAATTTCTTGGTCACTAAGACAACCCAAACCTCAATTATTAGCATCTAAGTGCTACCTAAAAAATTTCCAACAACAATCACCTAAAATTGTGCGTTTATGATTATACTGTCACTGGCTGATCTGCCTTCAATAACCGGTGAACTGATCCTTTAAAGAAATTCAGTCCAGCATCCATTAACCTGCTGACTGGAGAGACCTCAGTGGAAAAGAAAGCCACAACCGACACCACCTCTTGAAATTAGCCTTCTCTCACTAATCTTCAACTTCTATCCTGGCACACTGCTAATAGAAAATAAATAAACATAAATTTATTTTTCAACCACTTTCAAGGTAGGAAATCATCTACTCCTGCCGTAGCACTGTGGTAGGGAAACACTGAAAATAATCTTGCCAGAAATTTAAACTAGGCTGGCAAAACCATTCTGACAATGTCACTATATTTAACCAAATTCCACTGAAGAAAAATACATTCAATTGCAATTAATAAATATGAAGCATACAGCCAGAGTAATATAATCATAAGGCTCTCAAGTTAGCAGCATTCTCCTCCTGAAATCCATTCAACCTGTCTGTCATGGAAGATATCATCTCAATAACTTGCAAAGAAGTCAGTTTCAACTAGAGAACTGAGAATCAGTGGTTCTAAATTATATTCAAACCCTCACTCAAATCCTATGTTGATAAAAGTTCTTTCAGATACTGGGAAATGCTATTAATTATTTTCATCATGAGAGAAAATTATTCTTTTTGATGTTACAGACACTGAATTCTGAACCAAAACCTTAATGAGCTTTTCACTGTATATTGTATCCAGCTCTACCTGCACTACTACTTTATGTACATTTTACATCTGGATCAGGAAAATAAATACATAAAGATGTTCAATGTCCTACTACCACATCTCCAGCCATTACCTTGCCTGGGAATTAGCAGGTTACTGCTACTGACTGGAGATTATAATTTCTAATGACCTAAAAAATTATCTTCTAGAATATCACATCATATTAGAACTACTGATATGTATTCTAAATAAGTTATTTAAGTAAAGGCTGTGCTTTGTCACACTTCCTTTAAAAGGCTATCAAAAAACTTAAGTTCGAAAACAGCAGGGGCTGGTGCTGTGGCATAGTGGGTAAAGCCACTGCCGGCATCCCATATGAGTGCCAGTTTAAGTCCTGGCTGCTCCACTTCCGATCCAGCTCTCTGCTATTGCTTGGGAAAGCAGTAGAAGATGGTTCAAGTCCTGGGGCCATTGCACCTGCGTGGGAGACCGGAAGAAGCTCCAGGCTCCAATTGGTCCAGCTCTAGAGTTACGGCCATTCGGGAGGTGAACCAGTAGGTGAAGGCTCTCTTTCTCTCTCTCTCTTTCTGCCTCTGTCTCTCATATGGGCATCGGTTCGAGTCCTGACTGCTCTACTTCTGATCCAGCTCTCTGCTTTGGCCTGGGAAAGCAGAAAATGGCCCAAATCCTTGGACCTCTGCACCTGTGTGGGAGACTTGAAAGAAGCTCCCAGCTCCTGGCTTTGGCTCGGCATAGCTCCGGCTGTTGCGGCCAATTGGGGAGTGAACTAGCAGATGGAAGACCTCTCTCTCCCTCTGCCTCTCCTTCTCTCTGTGTGTGACTCTGACTTTCAAATAAAATAAATAAACTTAAAAAAAAAAAACTGGGTCATTTTTTCTAAGCTTAAACCCAAATGTAGGAATTCTTATTAAAACCAGCCCACTCGCCCATCCCCAGACAATTCCTCCATGAGCAAAAGCTGTCTTGGTCAGTACCTGCACTGCCTGGTAATTACTATGTCAACCTGAAGTCTGCCTCCAGGAATTCACTCACTGGGACTACTACTTCTCTGGGAAGACACTCAAAACAGGTCCACTTCCCTCTCTATAAGATGACTTTTTTGAAAGATAAAATCCAACAGGTCTCTCTTAACCAGTTTTTTCACATTTCCTCGTCTCTGCCTCCCTCTAATGGCACCGTTCCAGAGGCCCTCTCCACTCACGGTCACAGAGATCGGAGATGCTGCTCAGACTCTCCTGCACTCTGACACATGCGTGTTCCTACTAATACAGAGAAATGTCTCCCATTAAACCTAATCCAACATTATGCATACTCCAAGAATGTTTACTGATACAAATCTCAGAAGACATGACTAGAAGACAATGTTTACCTGTGTTTGAGCGTCTTCTAATACCAAAGTCCCAACTTGAGGTAATATCGACTGACTGGGCATACACATAGCCCTGAGTCTCACCATTGCTTCCCTGAATTTCTGACCCACTGTCTCCAGGCATTGAAGGAGGATGAATCTTCTCTAGGTCAACATCATGATCAATGAGAACCATTTCGCACATTCCCGTGTCATCACTCGTCACATGGGACTGTCGAATATGAGCTAGAATGATAGTTGGATTGTCCAAGAAGGCCATCCTCTCTGTGGGCCAATTCCTTAAAAGGCTATTTTCTCCTCTTCATATTGTTTCACGAGCTCACCTACCTAGAAACATGATGTACACAGCAATATTTAAGAATAAGGCAGAAAACGACTGAATCATTTTTCAAACAAATTCAACGTGGCAAAATGCTACCTTGAAAACCAACATTTATCCCTACACTGAGAGGAGTTTGAAAGGATTAAGTGTAAGCTGAAAGAAAATCCTTATAAGCACTAGGGGCTACAGCTCTAGTCAATGAGATCTCCGTGGTATCAGAGAGGAAAGCATGCTCTCTTGCAAAACAAATAATAGTAACTCCACAGTCAGGCCACTCAAAGCACATAACTACTGCTAAAACAATAAATTCTCCTTTCTTCCTCCCTTCCCATGCAATTTTCTCATTACTTTATAAGGTCATGGGGAAAACAAGTTGTATTTTTCTCAAATGATGTACTAAAGTATGAAACTGTATTTCATCGGTTTATATTTCCCTGCCTGTCATATGGTCACAAAGTGTTTAAAAGGGCAGACAGTGTTTTCTGAATTACTAGGAATTTTACAAAAAGTACCACCAAAGTAATTTTGCTCAATAAACACATTTTTCTTTCTTTTGGTTTAAGATAGTATTGTGCTTTTAAAATAAAACTTATTAATCAAGATTGCCTGCTATAAGATTAATTTATTTTAGAAACCTAATTATAAGAACTGCTTCTTCAATTCCATTAAGAATGTAATGATGTTTATTCTAGGAAGAAAATGCTACTTCCTCAGTTGCATGGGAATCTCAACAAAGAAAATATTACAGTAGTTGGGAACAAAGCCTTAGGGACAGAACTGGGTTGAAATTCTGATCCTGTCACTTGCTGACTTTGTGATCTTGGTCAAAATACTGAACCCTGGGGTTGACGCTGTGGCACAGCAGACAAAACTGCAGCCTAAGATGCTGGCATCCCATTTGGGTGTCAGTTCAAGTCCCCACTGCTCCATTTCCGATTAAGCTCTCTGCTTTGGCCTGGGAAAGCAGAAGAAGATGGCCAAGTCCTTGGGCCCCTGTACCCACACGGGAGACTTAGAAGAAGCTCCTGGCTCCTGGGTTCAGCCTAGTTCAGTCTCAGCTATTGTGGCCATTTGGGGAATAAATCAGTGGATGGAAGATCTCTCTTCTCTCTGTCTCTCCCCTAACTCTGCCTTTCAAATAAATAACATAAATCTTAAAAATAATGAACCCTTTTGAGTCTCTTTCCTTTCTTCATTTATAATAGGAAGGTTGAAGGGATGAGAGGATATAGGAGATAATGCAGTTGTGTAAAATACTCAAGATATTTGGCACGTAATTAAATATTAGCTGCTGTTAGTAATCATGATGATAAAAATATCATTACTAACTTCAGCATTCAACTCCTGTTTCAACCAGTCCTGAAACATATAAACATCCCATTCTCCTTCAATAAGTTCATGGCAGATAAAGTAAGCCAGTGCTTCCTTTGTGGAAGAGGACATCGTCATCTGTGTCAGTTCCCTGCTCCTCCAGAATCATCAGGAAGTATAAGGAATTCTTGTAAGGATAAGAATACTGGGTTCATATGCTCCTATGTGAGGTCTTAGAAAACATCTGTTTTAGATCACCAGGGCAAGAACAGCCTCAGGTTGCGAGTGCTGCCTCCTGGTGGGCGTGCGGCAGCTCAAGGCCCCGGGCTCAGGACCAGGAGGGGAGAGGCCACAGGGGCCCTGTGGGGTGGGCACGACCAACAAAAGACTGGGCCAGGGGCCGGCGCCGCGGCTCACTAGGCTAATCCTCTGCCTTGCGGCGCCGGCACACCGGGTTCTAGTCCCGGTCGGGGCACCGGATTCTGTCCCGGTTGCCCCTCTTCCAGGCCAGCTCTCTGCTGTGGCCAGGGAGTGCAGTGGAGGATGGCCCAGGTGCTTGGGCCCTGCACCCCATGGGAGACCAGGAAAAGCACCTGGCTCCTGGCTCCTGCCATCGGATCAGCGCGGTGCGCCGGCCGCAGCGCGCAGGCCGCGGCGGCCATTGGAGGGTGAACCAACGGCAAAAGGAAGACCTTTCTCTCTGTCTCTCTCTCTCACTGTCCACTCTGCCTGTCAAAAAAAAAAAAAAAAAAAAAGACTGGGCCAGGGGCCGGCACTGTGGTGTAGTGGGCTAAGCTTCTACCTGCAGTGCCCGCATACCATACAGGCACTGCTTTGAGTCCCGGCTGCTCCGCTTCTGATCCAGCTCCCTGCTAATGCAGCAGAAGATAGCCCAAGTCCTTGGGCCCCTGCACCCACATGGGAGACCCCAGAGGAAGCTCCTGACTTCAGCCTGGCCCTGCTCCGGCTGTTGTAGCCAGTTGTGGAGTGAACCAACGCATGGAAAATTCTCTCTGTGTCTCTCCCTCTGTGACTCCGCCTCTCAAATAAATAAATAAATAAAAACGAAAGAAAACATCTATTTTTAGAAAGACTTATAAGATTCTTGAGATTCTCGTCATTTGTTTCTTCTAGAAATGGAACATGGGGGAAATATGGTTAATCAATCACTACAGCTAACAGGGATTTTAAAAAATTCACCTGCTAACACGTTGTTCTGGTGGCAGCACTTCGTGGGTCCTACGGAGACTGTAAGATGGCTGAGAAGCACCACCAAGTGACTCACGCCAAGCTTCCCTTTCCCTTTAAATGTACCGAGCGCCTGTTTAGACAGAGGTCAGTAGGAAATGCAAAGTAAGGAAGATGCCCCCAAATCAAAATGCATACAGCCCTGGGACACCGCCTAACACCCTAATATAAGCCTAGCACATCCCATAAGGCCATGCATATGGTTCTTTTAAGTGTCCCATTTTTGAGACACCTCATCCCAGAAACATCAGTGTCAATTCACCATCAGAAAAAAAATGTACTCAATTAAAAGGCAGCATTTAAACTTCTAAAGGTAAGGAATTTTTCTATAACCATAGACATGTATACACTCCCAGAATTACTTATAAATGTGAGTATCTGTTTTGTCACAGAGTCACGGCATCACAGGTCACTGGGCTGCAGATACCCTCACACAGAACACACGAGAAGCTCCCTTCCCTGTGTGAATGCGGGCAGCTATCACCCCAGAGGGGCAGGCGCTTCCAACTCTTACTGAATTTCTCCTCTGCAGAAACCAGGGCTTCAGTGGGAGCCCACACATTTAATGAGCGTTCTGGATCCAAAAGGCAAAGGGCAAAGCAAAAGTACACTGCAGTGCTCTTGATAAAAACCTTTTTCAGGAAAATGTATCTGCACAAACATGTCTCATAAAGAGGAACGTCTCACCCCAACTCCCACCTTTACCCTTACAGAACACAGGCCTCTCACGCCACCCCACACAGCCAACACCTTCCGTGTTAGAGCACTGAGACACCATGATTCAGCAGATGTTTGTTCAACTCCAGTTCTGATAAGGAACTCTCACAAGACCACCTAGGGAAGGGGCTACTGTGTCTGTCACTTTCTACCTCTCATCACTCTACTTGAAGATTAAGACTGTAAGTTCCACAAGGACAGAGGCCAAACACCACATCCCTTGCAACACAGGATGTTACAAATGGCAGGAATTCAACAAATGCCGTGTCCAACTCCAACGACTATACAGTCTTGCTGTAGAGAGAAGTCATGTAAGAGGAAGCCAGGTGTAAGTGTGATTATCAAGCAAGGACTACCTTTTTCTAATTAGCACAGACACAAGCGCCTCTCTTCAATGTGACCCTCAAACCTGGCACCTTGAGACACTATCAATTTATTCCAACAACACTACTTTTCAGAACAAAAAAAATGTTTTTAAACCTAAAGAGCAACAAATTAGCATTTAATGGCATATCTGATTTCTAAGATAAAGACATTCAAACATACATGGACAAAAACTTCCTCAACTGTGCAAAAATCAAGGACTTTTTTAAAGATCAACATCAACAGGGGTACAGAGACATGGGCAGGCTCGTGCACCACAGGGAATGAATGCCGAGACGTTTTAGAAGGTAATTGGGTAATAGTTATCAAAATGAAAATCAGGCATACTCCAGGTGATCCCACCTCTAGGATTTGCTCTGAAAAATTTTTATCTAAAAATCGTTTGTAATACTGAAAATCTGTCCAAAATCAAGCTTAACCACCAACAACACACATGCCATGGCACACATGTAGAGAATGCATATTATGAAAAAATTTTGCAAGAATATCAAAAATGTTTGCATTAACAAAACCCTACTATCTTTTAATTCCATTTTCCATGAACTTTCTAAGCACCCTCAATAAACAATGAAATACTACTTAGTGATTTAAAATACAGAATAGGGGGTAGTGCAGAGTGCCTGGTTCCATACTGGCCTCTGGCACCTTGGAAGGCAGCAGTAATGACTCAGGTCACTGGGTCCCTGCCATCCTTGTGGGAGACCTACACTGAGTGTTTGGCTCCTTACTGGCTTGGCCCCTCAGCTGTTGCAGGTATTGGCACTTGGAGAGTGAATCACTGGATGTGAGCTCTGTGTGTCTATCTGGTGTTTGTTGTCTCCCTCTCTGCCTCTCAAATAAATAGTTATCCACCACGCCCCCTCCCCCCAAAAAAAGAGAAAAAAGCAGCAGCAGCACCAGAGATGTTTAAAAACAACACAAAACCACAGGAAATTTTGACCCATGTTTCAACATGGATGAACCTTCAGGACCCAACGCAAAGGGAAACCAGCCAGTCACAAAAGGACAAGTGACGCACTACTTACACAAGGCACCCAGAGCATTCAAATTCACAGAGAGAAGGTAGAATGGAGGTGGTCAGGGACTAGATGAGGGAGGAATGGGGACAAAGTGCTCGATGGGTATATTCCAGCTTGGGAAGGCAGGAAAGTGCTAGAGGCACAGTGGTGATAGTGGCACAACAATGTTAGCATACTGAACACCAATGGACCATACAATTAAAAATCGTCAAAATGAGATCAACTTTATGTTACACATATTTCACCACAATTTAAAATGTTTAAACTACAACAAAAGTCTGGGAATCATCAGGTTAAACAGGTTTTCTTCAATCACAGGACTTCTCAAAGTAAACTACTCATGTCCATTTTAAATCTCCAAGAGTGAGGAGCCTAGGTGGCAGAATGTAACCCAAACTTATTTGATCCCTAAATACTTATTCCTCTCAAATCAGTGTATGATAGTTTCCTAAAACATGGTTTAGTAATGCTTCTCCACAATTGAAATACTGTCCCGGGGCAGGCATATGGTACAGAAGTAAAGATGCCACTTGGGATACCAGCATGCCTCATCAGAGTGCCTGAGGTCAAGTCCTGCCTCGACCCCAAATTCCAGCTTACTGCTAGTGTGCACCCTGGGATACATACAAGGGAGGCCCAGACTGAGTTCCTGGCTCCCAACTTCAGCCTGGCCCAGCAGATGAGATCTCTCTGTCTCTCAAACAAACATTTTTAGAAAATATTGTGTCAGGGCCAGCGCTGTGGCCTAGCAGATAAAGCCACCACCTGCAGTGCTGGCATGCCATATGGGGGCCAGTTCATGTCCTGGCTGCTCCATTTCCGATCCAGCTCTCTGCTATGGCCTGGGAAAGCAGTAGAAGATGGCCCAAGTCCTTGAGCCCCTGCACCTGCAAGGGAAGACTTGGAGGGAAGCTCCAGGCTCCTGTCTTTGGATTGGCGCAGCCCTGGCCATTGCAGCCAATTATGGAGTGAACAGGTGGATGAAGATATCTCTCTCTCTCTCACTCTCTCTCTCTCTGCCTCTCCTTCTCTGTGTAACTCTTTCATATAAAAAATAAACCTTTAAAAAAATACTGTGTCTTGGTGCTGGTGCTGAGGCGTAGTAAGCTAAGCCTCTACTTGCTGCATGGGCATCCCATATGGGCGCAGGTTCATGTCCCAGCTGCTCCTCATTCAATCCAGCTCTTTACTATGGCCTGGGAAAGCTGAAGATGGCCCAAGTGCTTGAGCACCAGTGTGGGAAACCTGTTAGAAGCTCCTGGCTACTGGCTTCGGATAGGCCCAGCTCTGGCCATTGTGGCCATCTGGGGAGTGAACCAATGAATGAAAGACCTTTCTCTCTGTCTCTCCCACTCTTTGTAACTCCACCTCTCAAATAAAGAAAGAAAATCTTTAAAGAGAAATACTGTCTCTTTGGCTCCCCTCCCTTTTTTAAGATGTATTTTATGTATTTATTTGAAAGGCAGAGTTACAGAGAGAGGGGGAGAGACACAGAGATTCTCTATCTGCTGGTTCACTCTCCAAATGGCCGTAAGAACTGGAGTTATGCCAGGCTGAAGCCAGGCGCTTCTTCCAGGTCTCCCACGTGGGTGCAGGGGCCCAAGCATCCGAGCCTTTCCAAGCACATGAGCAGAGAGCTGGATCAGAAGAGGAGCAGCCAGGACACGAACCAGTGCCCATATGGGATGCCTGTACTGCAGGCAGCAGCCCAACTTGCTATGCCCAACTCATTATACCACAATGCTGGTGTCTCTGTCTCTGTCTCTGTCTCTCTCTCTCTCTCTCTCACACACACACACACACACACACACAGACTTTTTAAAGATTTATTTATTTGAAAGAGTTACAGAGAGAAAGAGAATGAACGCGAATCCATCTTCCATCTACTGGTTTACTTCCCAAATTGCTGCAACAGCTGGGGCCAGGCCATCTGCACCAGGAGCCTAGGACTTCCTCTAGGCTTCTCAAATGGGTGGCAGAGGCCCAGGTGTTTGGGCCATCTTCCTCTCCTTTCCCAGGAACATCAGCAGAGAGCTGGATGGGAAGTGGAGCAGTCGGAACTGGTGTTCATATGGGATGCTGGCATCGCAGGCAGCGACTGGTGCTCATGTGGGATGCTGGCATCGCAGGCAGCAGCTTCACCTGCTGCACCACAACACCAGCCCATGTCTCTTCAGCCCTTGAATAACTTCCTGGATACCACCAATTCTTGATTCTCTGAGACAACTGATCCTTTTTATATACCTTTAGGTATATAAATGTGTATCTGATAGCAACAACAGATCAGATAAACAACAACATCAGGCTCCAGGAGGTTAAATCCCCTAAGATGTCCTACTTTTCACAGTTTCTTTAAAGCGTAAAGATGTGCTAAGAAAAATGGAAGCAACAGGGACAAGCAGTGAGTGGGAGGATAGTAAGAGATGTCCAAAAGTGATACAGCCACTTTTAACCTATGGTTGAGTCTTTCATATTTTATTCATTCAGCAAATACTTGCTATGTTCCTACTACAGGCTAAAGGTGATTCCAGGTGCAATTTGAATGCCATTACCACTTGACACACACAACTGTGTTCCTTAATGGTCATGTAACTGCCTCTGGTAACTTGGAACATGCCCTAAATACAGGAATAATCTTTGGTAGGTTTTCAAGGGCATCAAGTCTTACTGTAATTTTAATAATAACTTTATACACACATACACCCAATCCCAAACTTTATATGCAATGACTCGTAGAAAAACATACAGTATAACATAGTAAACAAATAAAATTAAAATGATGAGTCCAGGCCAGTACATGCCACACAAACTTGTACATTTACTTGCTAGATAGACTACAGAATTCCAGAAACAAAAACCAGTTATGGTAGCTAACTGTAACTTATTATAAATGGTAAGAATGCTCTATTTTTTATTGACTTTTTTAAATATTTATTTTATGTTTTGAAAGGCA